AAAAACTAATTTTAACTTTAAAAATTCATTTGTATCAGTCAGTCAATAAATGTTTATTGAACATTCGATATGTATGAGGCCTTGTTTTAGGAATTGCAGATATTCAGTGAAAAGAAAGTCTCTGACGTCAAAAAGCTTATATGTTTCAGGGACAGAAAGATGAAAAACATATTAAAAATTAGTAAGACAATTTCAGATCTATGAGGAGGACAAAGTAAGACAATGTAGTAGACAGTAATGGAGAGAGTGCTGATTTCACTGGGTGGTTGAAGAAAGCTTCTCTAAAGCAGTGACCTTTGAGTTCAGACTCAAACGGGGAGAAGAAAGAGCCATATGAAGATCTAGGAAAAGAACATTCAAAAAGAAGTAGTAACAAAGTCTCTGATTCAGCGTGGTGTACTCTGAGATCAAGAAGGAAGCCGACATGGCCGAAGCATAGCATGAGGGAGGGAAAGTGCTAAGACAGGGTTGGGAAGTAGGGCATCCAGGCCATAATAGAGTCTGGATTTTTATTTTATGTGTACTGGAAACCATTGGAGAGTTTTTGGTAAAGAAATATTCTAATCTGGTTTATCCTTTAGAAAGATCATTATAGTTACTGTGTGGGTATGGAAGATGGACTGTGGTGAGCTAAGAATGGAGAGGGGGTAACCAGTTAGGACTGAAAGAGTCCAGGCAGATATGATGGTGGCCTACCCGAGGGATACAGCAGTAGAGCTGGTATAACAGATCACAGCAAAACACAGTTACCAAAGAAAATCAAATAGATATACCTATTTTAGATGGTAATCTTAAAAATTATTATTATGTAAACAATATCCCAAGGAAGATTATGATCCACATTGAAAAGAAGGAAAATTATATTTACCTATTTTCCTGCTTTAAAAACGAAAGTTCTAAATGGGATCAAATATTCTAAGTTATCTTAATTGATAGAGAGAATGCCTCAGGATTTATAATTGGCACTATGAGGTTGAAATTCAATCCATGAGCCAGCTTTGCTTCTAAAGATGCTTTATCCGTAATGATAGTCTCAAGCCTTTTCTCCTCTTTGTCCCAGGAAATCTGTAAGCCACTGACAGCAAAGGATATAAGGGTGTGGCTCCAACTAGAGGTCCCTGGAGGTGAGGTTACCCAGGAAGTGCCCCTTGCAGCTACGATTCCTACCTCCACGTATTTCTGGATTGCCTATTCTTAGCACTCTGTCAGTTCAGGTGCATTTCATTATCCTTCACAACCTGAATATCGATTTTTAATAAATCAATCTGCAAATATTTCTTCAGCCCATACTGTATGTCAGGCACTATGCTAGGCAACAGGGAGAGAGCAGCAAACAATATAGACATAGTTCCTCCATTAATGGTGCTTTTGGTAAAGTGGGGAAGATGGACACTGAACATAAAATTATAAGATCTCTTAACAGAGGGGAGGTAACAGCAGCTACAGGAATCTTTAGCAAAGGGATTAACTGTATGGAAGGTCAGGAAAAGCTTCCCTCAGGAAGTGACATATAAACTGAGTTCTGAAGATTACGGGTAACATGTACTCTAGAGGAATGTTTTTTAAAACAAGTATAAGACCCTGTTAGAGAACTAAATAATGTTTGCCCCCTGTGGATATTATATAAGAACTTCGGCAATCAGTGCAAATATATTTAAGTGTATATCTCACACACACACACAAAAAATCTTCAGCACAGTTTTACATATAACGAATGCCTTCGGGTTACCTGTTGTCTGGGAGGGCATCTTGTTTCAATTGGAAGTTCTCATTTACTGCAATTTCATGAGCAAGAGTCATGTTTGATAAGTTCCTAGCTGCAGCCATCACTTCATCAAATGTTACAATCCTGGGAGGGCTTGTTGCTGAAAGAAAAACAAAAGCCAGTTAACGCTGTAGAAGAGAAGTTGCCATCCAACAAAGCCTACTGATACAGGCAAGGCTTAATTTATTACACTGGATATAACAGGGTTTTAAAAGTAAGGAGAATATACACTAAAATAGGTGGATTCTCTAGCTTAATAAAGACTTCAAGAATTTAAAAGCTCCTTCAACACCTTCAATTACCATATTTGACAATAAACTCTCAAATACTTCGGGACAATCTTATTATTATAGGCCTATTAAGATAGGCCTCATTTTTAGTGCCTATTGATACCTGCACCACATGTATTATATAGGAAATAGATAAGACTATTTTTCATTCTGTAATTCAGAAGTCTCACTAACTTAAGCAGATTCGATATGAAATAACTGATTTTTAAAACCATAACTTCTAAATGTATAGGCAGTATAATATAATGTTTAAGTTCAATTCTAAATTTTGCCAGCTGATAGTTCTCATTTGATTTCATTGAGGCATCACTTACCTCCTCACAGGGTTAGCCTGAGGTGATTAAATGAGATAATTTAAGTAAAGAAGACCATAGTAAGAACTCAAGAAATTTACATAATTAAAGTAAAATACAATAAATCTGGGAAACTGGATAATCTACTTCTCAGTAGGAAGTAGTAAAGAATTTGAGTAATTTCTAAAGATTATACTAAGAAACTATTTTAATAAATCATGTTGTTTTAAAATCACTGTTGGAAATCTTAGCTTCTGTTAATTAAAAATCATGACCTCAAATGACAGCACTGACAGGCAATACTTTGCTACCTAATTTTTTTTTTTTTTTTTTTGGAGACAAAGTCTCACTCTGCTGCCTGGGCCAGAGTGCCGTGGTGTCAGCCTAGCTCACAGCAACTTCAAACTCCTGGGCTTAAGGGATCCTTCTGCCTCAGCCTCCCAAGTAGCTGGGACTACAGGCATGCACCACCATGCCCGGCTAATTTTTCTATATATATTTTTAGTTGTCCGGCTAATTTCTTTCTATTTTTAGTAGAGATGGGGGTCTCGCTCTTGCTCAGGCTGGTCTCGAACTTCTGAGCTCAAACAATCCTCCCGCCTCGGCCTCTCAGAGTGCTAGGGTTACAGGCGTGAGCCACCGCGCCCAGCCACCTAATTTTTTTTTTTTTTATTAAGAAGGAGTTGGGGGGAGGAGGACAAGAGGAGGAAGAAGAAAAAGAAAGATGACACACAGAATTAGTAAAATGCTTCTTCAGGGTGCCTAGGGTGCATCAACCCCTATACAGTATGAGTGAGAAAAGGCACAGAAACCTGAGGCTGCTATTCTTTTGCCAACTCTGCCTCAAAATTCTCCTTAAAAATATCTATATTCTTTGGTCAAACAATCCAATGATACCCAAAGGAATTTCTAGAAAGGCTTTATGCACTAAGATGTTCATAAAGCACTATTTGCAACAGAAAAAAAAAAAAAGAAAGAAAAAAAGAAAAAGAAGCTAAATGTCCAATGATAAGCCAATGGCTAAGTAAATTTAAATATATTCACTTCATGAAGTAGTAGATAGTCATAAAAACAATGTTTCAAAAATATAGAATCATGAGTAAATGTTTTAGTTATAATAGTAAGTGAAAAGAGTCCACACATATATACACACATATGTCTGTGTGAAGGATAAAGATATGGCAATGCACTGCCAGCTGTCGTCTTTGGGTGGTATTATAGGCAATGCTTTCTTTTCTCTATACTTATGTATTTTCCAAGGTTTTTAAAATGAGAATGTATAAATTTGAAATAAATACAAATGAACAAATATTTTAGAAGTGGACATTTAATCATAATAAAACATTAGTTGCTTTTTCTAGCATTTGCTTTGTCAGTTAAAGGTGTTATACTTCCTAAACAAAATGCCAATTAAAAAACTAGAAAAAAAAAAAAAAGGCAAACACACCTGCTTTACACATCTCTACTTTCCACATACAAAAAAGCAAAAAGATATCTCCCTTTGCTGTGGCCTCTTTTTTAACTTTCTCACACCCTTAGTGTAGTAATTCTCTCGGGTACCTTTCTGGGGTGAATTGCACAACAATTTTGAAATCAGTAAGAAACCCTATAGATTATTTCACTTCCTTCCTGACCCTTCAATGAAGGCAATTTTTCCTTCAATGTAAATCAGAAACAATCAAACAAGACCAATTTTAATTTATCCTTGAGGGTAGTCCAAGAAGTAATTGCGAGGAGTGGCTTTTTGCCATTTGGAAGAAATGACAGACAGGGTTGAAGTCCTGATTTATGGTCAAACAAAAGCAGATCAGAGACAGTGATTAAAATAAAAATTGGCAGGTTGTAAACTTTAGTGGCTATTTATTTCTGAGAATTTGTCCAAGAAAGCTGTAATGTCTCTGCAGAGCTATTCTGGTACATCTAGAAAGGAGGGGAAGTCTGTTGCTCTTAGCCACTTCTGAGTTTTCAAATCCAACACACAACTCTAGAAGTACCCCCACCACCCCAGCCCCTGCTCCCCTGTCGGCTCACAAGCAGGAGAGCTGGATTTGCTGGAGGAGCTGCTTGTGAAGCTCTGCCTGGAACACTCATAGTCACTGAGTGAAGCCATGCTTTCAGAAAACCGTGAAGAGTCTGAATCGCTTGTCTGGTCCTCTCCCACACACTGCTTCTCACCATTGAAGGGCATTTTGTGTCACTTAAGTATGGATAAAGAGACGGCACCTGCACAGACAAACAGACCTTGCGTCAACATTCTGTGGTACTTCCAGTGGCAGCGCCAATGCTTCTTCCAGTGTAGACAGCCGTACCCACAAGTGTCACAATGTTAGAAAGGCCCTCAGAAGATGACCTTGTCCTTCCCCCACCACTAGGCCATCAAGATGGCCTTCCAGAAAAGGGATTCCACAGCCATAGGTGTGAGTTTACTCAGGACGTAACCACCGTAAACATGGAGCAGCTCTAAGTAATGACAGATCCTTAAAAAACAAAACAAAACACACCACAGAACACACACTCTCTGTCCCAGGGCTTCTAAAACATAGCAAGATATAAGTGTGGGACTCTGGAGTCAGACTGTTCACTCTATCTTTTGCCATGTGACCTTGTGGAGGTCACTTAACCACCTACCTCATGAGTGAAACTGGACTGATAGACTAATCTAATAGGGTTGCCTGAAGATTGAATGGGATAAATCTTTCTTTCTTTCTTCCTTTCTTTCTCTCTCTCTTTCTTTCTTTCTTTTTTTTTTTTGAGACACAGTCTTGCTCTGTTGCCCGGGCTAACGTGCAATGGTGTCATCATAGCTCACTGCAACCTCAAATTGCTCAAGCAATCCTCCTGGTTCAGCCTCCCGAGTAGGTGGGACTACAGGCACACCCGGCCAGAGTTAATGGCACTCCTCTTTGCACATCTGGAGCATATCTCCTGCAGCTCCACAAGAGCACTTAGTCTCTTGTACATTTTCTTCCCACGGCCACTTCTGAATTTCCTTAATAAGGCAGAGATTGTGTCTTGTCCACTACCAGTGCCAAGTATATGACAAGTATTCATTCAGTGTCAGCTAAATCAGAATAACTGAATCCCATTTGGTACAGCTTCAACCAGAACATTTGCAAGCTGATATCACTACACGTTTACAGGCCTGGGACTGCCAAAGTTCAAGCCCTAGAGCAGAGAATCTACTGCCTAAGCCTGTTTTATTTGATATAAAACTCAAAATTCCCAGGTCCTTGTCATACTCTTGGTTTGAATACTTTAAAGTTTGTTTCCCCTTTATTATTTTTTTTTAGTCATTCTCTTGTAATGTAACAGCTGTGCTTAGTATGCCCTGGTCTTAATTTTTCTCTACTATAGCTGCTTCAAACCAGCTTTGGCTGATTTTCCAAGTAAAAGTGAATAAAAGCTTCCAGTCATGGAAATTTATGAACTAGCTTAATAGTTATAACTATCCATTTCATTTTTCTACTCCTGCTGGACAGCATGCTTGGTAGCTTTCTTAATGTGTTTAACAAGGCAGAAAAGTATAAAGATTTAAAAAATAAAAAGCTCTGGGTTAGGAGTTGGAATCCAGGGTTTGGGGCCTGGGTCCACCATGAAATCGTTGTATGACTTTATGCACATGATATCTGCTCTCTTCACCTCACGTTTCTGAGAGGGTTGGGCCAGTTATAAGGTTTCTTTCAGTTAGGAATTGCTAAGATGCTCAAACCCAGAGTTCCATGAGGCATCACTACAAGTTCTGAGAAATCAAATGACAGGCATGCTTAATAATGCACAACTACACTTTCTGCCAACAATTCACTGGAGGTAGAAGTCCTAGCCCAGTGGCCATGACAGAAAATTTAAAAGCTTCAAAATGTTTAGAAACTCCTATTTAGTTGGTAGAAGCCTCCACATTACAACTGTAGTGTATCCAAGCAAAAGCCTATCTTTGGAGTAAAAATGCCCATTATTACTTTATTAAGAAATTGCCTGTTTCCTCATACAGACACACTAATAATATCTAACTCATAGGGTTGGTGTGAGATTTCATTTAGTCAATACATGGAGAGTGCTTGGAACAGTCACTGACAGAGTAAAAATATACAGATGTTTGCTATTATTAACTTTTTGTTTGTTAATGTCATCGCCTCAAGAATTAAAAAACTCCAGAGGGAAGAATAGTTTTATGTCAGGATGATGAAAGCATGTTCCTCTACAGGTAGACATGGCTAGTAGTTAACCTAGGACAGAACTCGTGCATTTGTTTGAAATATAAAAGCCAAAAGCAAATGGTAGTGTGAATGGTCTTCTGCAAGTTCCTTCACACCTGCTCTTACCTTTCTCGGTCTCAAGTTTCCAAATAAGTCATCTGAGGACAAAGCTATTTGATTCAGAAGGCATTGAGGGTAATTAGACTGCTTTTAAAACTATTTTGGATACTCTCCTGGACTGGTAATAATGACACCAGGCTGTTTCTTTAAGACAGGTAATTCTTCTTATACAAACTTAGATCTACCTAAACTTCACCATTGCAACTCACAAGTAAATCAAAGTTTTCAGGGATACCACATCTCATCTTACCTGGAGGATTTAATCACTGGTCAAAGGTGAAGTAAAAGGTAAAGACAGAAGATAACTCCAGGTAAAGCCTCTAACACTATAAAGGGTCATTATTCAAAGAAAATAAAGTACTGTTATATTCACATTTTTTATTGTATAGTTCCATCATTTTATGATAATAAATACAATATTATGTCATTCTTTCTGAGGCCAGTGCCTGGAATGCAGCAGGTACTTAAATATTTACTGTTGAATAAATGAATGGATGAATGAATGGTAGTATGACAACTAACATTTAAGAGAGTAGGGAATGGTACAGGGAGCTAAAGGGGCTAGTCCTATGACTCACCACAGATAGAGGGGAGTTTGGTTTTTAATTTGCTTGTTGATTTCTCAACTTGTGTCCAATTTTACTTTCTTACTTCCTTTCTGTAGCAAGCTCTACCTGCAAATGGTCCTGTACTGGTTCAGGATTGCAAAGGTACCCCAATGATAATACACATGTCACTGAAGCAGTAAGAACAAGCAGGCAGACTGGGTTCTTGATCCTAGCTCTTGATATTTACTGACCGGAGACAGAGAACTTACTTATCATTTGTAAAATGGGGAAATAATAGTATTTACCTTGTAGAAATGTTGTGAAGCTTAGCTAAAATAGTCTTCTACTTCAGTACTGAAACATCAAGTACTTAAGCTCCTAGTAAGTGTCTAACAGATGTCAACTATTATACTCATTAAAACAAGTTATGAATTCCAAAAATGTCAATGTCATAAAAAACAAAGAAAGACTGAGGATATGCTCCAGATGAAAATGCACTTGATAACTGAGTGCAATAGGTTATTCTAGACTGGATCCTGTACTGGAAGAAAAAAATGCTATAAAGGACATTATTGGTCAATTGATAGCATTGTTACAATACTTGCATCTACTGTCTGTATTCCAACGTTAAATATACTGAAGTTGAAACACACCATGGTTATGTATTTAGGAATAAAAGGCCAGGATGTACGCAACTTTCTCTCAAATGATTCAGATGAAAGAGAAAGAGAGAAAACAATAAAGCACGTGGAACAAAATGTTAATAGGTAAATCTGAATAAAAGGTAGACCACAGGGTATTCTTTGTACTATTCTTGCAAATTTTTTTCTAAGTTTGCAAAGTACTTCCAAATAAAAACTTAAAAGAGAAGATGGAGTACTGAACTGAAACTTCAAGATTCTAATTCAGAATAGTCCAGTGTCTTGCAGTTTTTAAATTTTGATTTTTCCCACCTCTGTGACAGTTTGAATACCATTCTACAATAAAAGCTCTTCTAAACAGTCTAACTTGTCCCAGTGTCCTTCAACAGTGCCTAAAGAATAAAACAGGAAATAGGCCAGAGCCCTCCAGAAAAGGCAAATTAAATAATCCCTTTTAAGAGTTCACCCCCAGGTGGTTTCCCTTTTCCTAAGAAATCTCATGGCCATGGTTTACAATCCTCTGTGATCTGACCTCTGCCCACCTCATTCTGTACCACTCTCCCCCAACCCTTCATAATCCAGACACAACAGCCTTCTTTGGGTTCCTCCAACATGCCCAACTTCCTACTTTGGAACACTCGCACCTGCTATTCTTTCCCCCTGGAATGTTCTTTTTCCTGACCTCCATGTGGTCGGCCCCTTGCTGTCATTCAGATTTGAAATTGAATGTCACAATTTCAAGGTGACCTTCCCTGATATCCCCACTCACAGCATCTAAATGAGCTATATAGAGCTTAGAACACTGCCTGGGGTAGAGTGGGAGCTCTATGAATATCATTGCATGAACAAATTATGCCACACTCCTATTATTCCTAAGATAACTTGGGTTTTCCTTCTCTTCTGCTTCCCTCGCATTGCTCATATTCTCATTGTGTAGTCACTTAAAGTACTATAGTTGTTGTATGCATAGCTGTCTCCCCACTAGATTTTAAGCTGTTTGTGAGAAGAAGCTATATCTCCCCTCTCCAATTCTCAGTGCCTACCTCAACACATTTCTGAGGTACCAATAATTCAAACTAGCAAAGATTCACAGTTCCAGGAGCCTAAAGAAACTATTACATTGTGTCTTTCCACCCTCTTAATACTCACTAATAGCAAATAATAACAATTAGAGCTAACAGTCACTGAGTGCTTATTATGACCTCAACAATGTAAGTACTCAATAACTGTTTATATAAGTGCTTTAAATATTTTATCTCCTTGAATCCTCATTACAACCTGTTAGCTAAGGTATTCTTATTAGTCCCATTTTATAATGAGACCCTGAGACTCAGAAAGGTTGCATTACTTGCCCAAGGGTTCGCAGCAACGTAGAGGTACAACTTAAATTGAGGCAGTAGATCCCTAAAGCCCATGCTCTGTATTGCTCTAGGACAGCTGGAGGAAATTTGGTGTGCTGTTCATTCTTTCCACTCCTATTCTGCCAGATCGATCTATCCATCGCCATGTGGACACTTTCACATATGGTAGCAAGCTGACTTTATCCTGGAATAGCTTCTTAAGTGCTATTTCATGAAGGACATTACTGAAAGAGTCACCCAAATTGACTTTCAATCTCCCCACTAGAGTGACTGAAAATCCTGTAGCAGGGAGCCATTCTTTAATCACTGCAAAATCCCTAGTTAAAACCCAAATATTATCAAAAGGGTTAACTGCTTATAGCTAGTATGAGTCATAAACATTTTGGAGTGAATTATTCAGATTACCCAGCAGGGCCCTGAGGAACAGAACCCATTCAGTTGAGGTTAGTTCATGGAAAAGAGAAATTTCAAGAAATACCTAGTGGGTACCACCCTTCAAGACCGGATCAAGGTCAGGTGCAAGGACGAGCATTCACATATGTATAGTAAAGGACAGGGAGTCAGAGGAGCTCTGAAGAAAAAAATTGCAGACAGTGTAGAAAATTTCCATCTTCTGCAAAATGCTGCTTTAGAACCAGTCCCAAATAGCAACACTAAAAAGTCATTCATCCACAGCAAAGCAAAAACCATACAGCAGAGAGATACATGCCTGCACCATTCAGCTAGACAATACTGGTCTTCATCAAGTCAGAACCAACAAAGAGCTAGATAAAAGTCAACAAGCCAGTCACTGTCTACAAAGCAGATGTTCACTCTACACATGGCATTACAGCATCAGGGAGAAGGATTTCTAGCCACTTTTCACACCTGAAAGCACTGTCCTCCCACCCCTGCTAGTCTGTTTTAGCACCTGTGCTTCCCCCTCTGGGGCCCTCAACAA